TCTTTGGGCTTTCTGCCCCCCCTTTTACCGAAAAAAAAAAAACTTGTCTTCATATCTATTTGGTGAATCTCTTAGTAAAAATAAACAATTATAGTGTGTTTGTATAAATGAGATAATTCATTTATTTGAAGAATTTCAAATTATTTGAAGTGAAATACCTTGTTTGGATGGAGAATTTATAATAAATTTGAAATTCAAGTATTTTTGAAATTCCTTAAAATAGTTGAATTTTAAATTCTCTCAAAAGAGTAAGAATTTGAATTTTTTTTCATATTTTTTTCTTCTTATTTCACTTATATATTTTAACTCATCTCTTATTTCTTCATGTTTTTAATTATTGAATATTTAAAAATATATTTAAATTTATAAAATATTATCTAATATTAATTTTTAAAATTAATAAATATTTAAAAATTAGCTAATATTTATTTTTATAAAATTTAGTTTAAAAATCTTAACATATAAATTATTTTAAAAATCAAATTTATCATGATGGAATCAAATTATCAAATTCAACCTAACAATTTAAAATTTGAAAAATTTGAATTGACTTATACAAACAAAATATTATAAGAATGATAGAAATTGAAATCAAAGTAATTCAAATATCAAGAATTACAAAATCCTTGAATTTGTAAAATTTCTCATCCAAACACACAATTAAAGTCATGGCATCTAAAGGACATTTTTTTATGGAGATTGGTAAAAAAAAAAATGTTTCTCTATAATCAATGTGTTTGTTATGACTATAAGTATTTGTCACAAGTATAGTTTTGTACCTCTCGATCTTTAGCATTTTTACCTTAATCTATTTCTTTCCTCCAAATAACTAAGTCATAGAGACAATCTCTGCTAACAGGAGACTCACGATTGTGTTAATTTTTAACGCAAACATGTTAAGCAAAGTGGATGTGAGCTTGGTTGTGTTTGATTTTCAACACAATTGTTTCGTTTCCATGCAAAGCCGTGATACTTATAAGCACACTCATGTTTTCTATCTCACTTTCTTGTTCATTTTTTTTAGCATGGTCATATTACACTCAAACTCTCTTGTACTTGAAACTCAATTTTTCCTCTTCACGAAAAAAACACAAACATGTTACATACAATAAAATTATGCTTATATTAAGGCCACGGTCGAGTTCAACTTCAGTACGATCATGCTCTCAAACTAAAATTGAAACAGAACAAATGCACACCTAAGAAACATACTCCTATTCCTACACGGTCAACTCACGTTATTAAACTACAATTTTACCATGTGTTTACGAAGCATGAACACATTAAATAATCTAATAAAACATATATATAAATTCTTAATCTCAATTGCTTAATCTGAGAAGTTCAACTCATTTTTTTTACACTTATCAAATGAATAATAATCAATCAATTTATTATGTTCAATATAATTATTCAAGGAAATCCAAACAATGTATAACTTCAACATACTTTTGGGATATTCAAAATCTTTCAAAAATCATGCAACAACCTGCGAGGTTGAGGGATAACTTAATTTGTTACTCACAGTTATTTCACACATATGAACGATAAGTAAAGTTTCATAGGAAACAAGAATAAAAATAATGAGTGTTTTAAATACAAATTATAGCATGTAATATTATATTCCAACAAATTTTACTAACTTTAATTCATTCCACAATTTTTTTTAAATGACCCAATTTGTTATTGGCACATTAGTCTTTAATGTGTCTCATAATCTTTCACTCTCGTTGAAAAATAAAATACCATAATTTTGTCAAATAATGATAATTGAGTATCACATTGGTATAATAGAGATAATAATAATAATAATAATATATTTAATTAATCTTTATTTATATATATTTACTTTTATAATTAACAATCTACTTATTTCTATTTAAAATTAATATTATGATACAATTTAAATTATCTATTATAAATTTAAAATTTTAAATAATAATTTTTATATTTTAAAATGAGAAGGGTTATAATAACACTGGTATAACTTTTACTAAGTATTACATTGTTCAATAACTTTATATTAAATGTGAATTTTGTAAATCCAACCGTTAAATTGAAAGTTCATATCACTTTATATGTTTATATCAAGTTTTGTTAAAATTGAACAACAACTTGAAGGTAATCAAAGTG